GCTGGTCTGAGCTCCATCTGCCATCCACCTGAGAGGGGTGAAGGGGGAGGATTTGTCTTGGTTCAGCTCACTCGGTTCTGAAAATAGGAGTGGTCAATATTTATGTTTTAAGTTTGGTGTTGGGTTACAGCCAATTTCAGCAGATCATGGTGACGGCCACGGTCAATGAGGATTTGGCAATTCCATTTCTCCTCCGTTCACTTGGTTTCAGTTAAATAGCAGGGAAAGACTTGCTGAAGCCTGGGGTTGCCCTGTGTTCGGGGAGTGGCCTTTCAAGACCCTGCACATCTCCCTGAACTTTGCTGTGCCCAGCTGGTCCTCCCCATCAATCCCTCCCTTCTCTCACTCCTATGTCCTTCTTGCCCATGTACACACCAGCCTCTCCGAGTCCGAAGAGTCTTCCCCAAATGAGAAACATTTGCATCTATGGTCAAGTGAGCTCATTTAGAGCCCTTAGCAGATAGGGGATTAGATTGAAACGGTCACTGAGAGCCTAAGAAGGGATGGGCTGTGGAAGGGAAGCATGCACAGGTGGAAACACCTTTGCCGAGTATAATGCAGCACTACAACAGGTCTCTTGCGGTCAGAGTAGCCTCTTCTGTTAACATTCATTCGGGAGGGGGATTCTGGCCCCCAGGGAGGGAGGGCACATGTAATACACAGGCAGAACCAGACCACAGCCCTGCCCCTCTTCATGTGCCTTCCCTGGTGTGGGCTTTCTGGGCCATCCCCATGGAAACGGAAAGGCTTACACACTAGGAAGTGCCCTCCTCTGGTGTCTGCAAACACCCACAGACACCCATGCACACTCACGCACACTAACTACGCACTAGCAGGCTCCTGTCAGAAGGCAGCTGGTGGTTCTTCTTGCCTGTAGGTTTAAAGCCAAGTAAGAATCGGGTGGTTTTAGGTCTGGCTCTGGGCCCGCCTGGGGCTGCATCCCGAGGACAGGCTGGGTGTGCCCAGCTTAATCCAGATCGATGGATATGCATCGACACTGCTTGACTCGAGTGACCCTCTTCTTCTTGGTGGGCGGCTGCAGTTCAGGGCAGTTGAGGGTGACCATCATGGTGGTGAATTTCTTGGGCTTGCAGAAAGAGCAGGACTGAAAGGAGCCCTCCTCCTTCCGGATGTGCCTGGGGATGTAAAAGGAGTTGCACTGGCCATAGCAGAAGCGGTTGATGATGGTGCGGCTGTTGCAGCCCTCCTCGTGGATGGTCTGCTTCAGCGGCTGGGTTTTGCACCAGTCCCGCTTCAGGTATTTGCGCTCAGTCACATGCAGGGCCTCCTGGCTGGACTCCAGCACCTCCTCGCCGGGCATGGCGGTGCCTCGCCCTTGGCCGCGCCCCCGGTTCCTGGAGCCGGGCTGCTGGGGAGACTGAGTCTGCTCTGAGTCATTGTGCTGGGCCTTGTCTGGCGGGGGGATGGCACCCTGGGACCCCTTCTTTTTCCCTTCAGCGGTGGGCAGCAGGGTCCCCAACAGGAGAAGCAGGGCTCCCACAGTGTAGGCCGTGCGGCTCATGCTAGAGGAGGGAGGCACAGAGAGGGGAGACACAACAAACAGACAAGTCAGTTAGAAAATTATTAGCAGCTAACATTTTATCAGGCACTGGTTTTGTTTGTCTTTTGTTTTTTTTTGTTGTTGTTTTGTTTGTTTTGCTTTTGAGAGAGAGAGAGAGCGTGCGCGCGCGTGAGCAGGGGAGGGGCAGAGAGAGAGGGAGACACAGAATCCGAAGCAGGCTCCAGGCTCTGAGCTGTTGGCACAGAGCCCAACGCAGGGCTCGAACCCACAAACTGTGAGATGGTGACCCGAGCCAAAGTCAGACACTGAACCGACTGAGCCACCCAGGCGCCCCTTTCAGGCACTTGTTAAACACTTTATGTAAAATACTTCATTTCCTTTTCACAGTATCTCTGTGAATCAGGTACTGTTATTCTCATCACCCACCAGGCCACCAAGCCATGAAGTAGCTTGCCCCAGGTCACCAGTGAATATGCCAAGGTTTGAGCTCAGTCAGGGCCTGCCTCTTCATGGCATGTACTGCCACTGGAATTCCTTCCTGGTTGCTGACACCAGTCACATCTGACTTTGTATTATGGTCACTTAATTGTATTCGTTCTTGTACGATACCGAGTGAACTTTGCATCTCTTTGGGCAAACCAATTTTCTATTTTGTTTTATGGCAAGACCAATCAACCTCATTGCCCAGGTTTCTTCTGTCAGGAAAGGCTTCTAGTCTCTTCTCTTGGCCTAGCCTGAGCGCTTCCTGAGTTGCACCTTGTTCAATTGGTTAGATACTTGGGAGATGTTCACTGATACCAGGCATTGCAAGGAGACCCATGAAGGAGACTGGAAAGCACCTGACAGAGGGAGAATAATTAACAGGAAGAACGCTGGATGAAAAGTCAAGACTGAGTTTCAGGTCAAAGTGCTAGGGCAACAACTTGCTGTCTAACCTTGAGAAAAATCACTTTACTTCTCCATAAATGACTTCATTTAAGCACATGTACACACACCTCATCTCCCCAGACAGGGTGGCTCACATCAAATTTGATATACAAGTAAAAGCAATTTGAGAACCAACCAAAGATATGGCAGTATTGCAGACAGAACAAATGACCTTATCAGAAAGGTCACATAACTCATAAGACCCCTTGAGCTCTCATTTATTCTTATTTTTAATCTGGCACAGATATTTATTGTATCATTCTCTATATCATGATATACACTTTTCTACTTTTAAATGGTGAAACAGGTCATTTATGTGTGTGTTTGTGTAAAATTTAGAATATAGAAAATGGGCACAAGGAAATAGGTCTGTGCAAATATTTACATTAATAAATGCCATACACATGTAGAACAAATGAATGATAGTGAATTTTTGTGGATGGGCCTTAGACATGGGTCATAAAGGGTAATGAACAATGACAAAAAAAATGAAGTTGGGGAGGCAGAGGGAAAACAGACCAAAAAAACCCACAAAAAACAAAAAACAGGACAGGAAAGCAAGGATGGGGAGAGAAAAAAATGGAGTGAGGAATGTAAACCAGAGAAAGGAGGGCTATTCTAGAGGCAGAGTATTGAGAGCAGGTAGAACAGAGGAGGAAGGGGAGGAGCTGAAGCATATTTTTAAAGACAGTGCAAGCATCAGACTATGAAGATTCTCCTGATACGGTGCCTCTCAGAAACCTCAATGTGTAGACACTCATCCAGGGTGCTGTTAAATGCAGATTCGAATTCAGTAGGTCTGCCTTTCTAACAAGCTTTGAGTAGTAAGGCCTATAGCACTCGTAGCTTTGGAACACAGAGTTATTAAAATGTGGAAGGATTTTCTTTTCAAAAAGTACAATTTCAAATTCACAGCCTCTCTCTCAGGTCATCATACCAAATCAGACCTGAACCTTGAGGCTTCCCCTTCCCCCTGCCCCTACGCCCACCATGATTCTGAACCTAAGGGCATAGCTGTGAAGTACCCATCTCCTTGCTCTATTCTGTATACCGGTGTTAACACATAATAACGCTAAGTGCAGTTTAATAGTAACTTTACACTCCCCAAGTAACCTTACAGTTACCCTAAGGAACTATACAAGTTGTATGATTAACTAAAGCAATTACCTTTCAAAGACAAAGACAGTGTGGAATCTACATTCTCTAAGCAATAGTCCCAAAACCATGCAACCCCAAGGATAATGTCAAATTAACATAATTAAACATTAAATTTAAAATATCCTTAAATGGCATCATTTTCCCAACATTAACCTAATACTTTTGGGCAAGTTCAAATTTGGAACAGATAATGTGACATTTAGCTCCTGTTCTTCTGACTGTTGACTCCCTGGCTTTTGTCAGTTTATGTTACAACATCCCTGTTCTTTAAACAGAGCCTTTTTTTTTTTTTTTTTTTTTTTGCCTCAACAACAACAAAAAATTAATTTCCTTGTTTTGTCTTTAAAAAAATCACTCATGAGAAAAGTCCAGTTATAAAACAGTGTTGATTTTCTCCAGAGACCAGGATAACTTGAGCCATGGCAAATATATTATGAATTTGAGAAGCTTTTACAAGTTTCTGCCATGTATTCAACTGGGGGTCAGGATCTAAGCTAAAATTCAGTCTCTGCCCGTTTCAAAGAGGAGCGCATGAGACAGTCCTCGGCCTACACCCATAGTCTCCCCTCATCCCTACTAAAAATGGCCCCCAGGGCAATTCGGCCCTCCCAGGGCGAGACCCTCAGAGCCCAACATCACAGAGGCCAATCCAAACCTGGGAATGTACATTGTCTGCATGTGACAGTTCATGTCATAAGGCTGCCCCCCGCCCCCTGCCACACACACACACACATCTGTCCAAAAAATGCAATTTCCTTTCTCAAGACCAACATAGCACTCTTTTTATACTCAACTTTTCCTTCCTGGCATTTTCACGTCTGTCATTAAATAAATACCTAGTCCAAGAGTCATGAGGCCTTATTCATCACCTTATTCTCAGTGCCTGGCACAGAGTAGGTGCTCTTTGGTTAAATGAATGCTTGTTACAGACCACACTGACTTACACAGTCTCTGTTCTTTTCATTTTAAAATGCCTTCCTTCACATGTGCCAGTGAGCAGCTGAGCCCAATACGACCTTCTTTATTTCTGACTTGCCGTATAGCAAACTCCCTCTAACCTTAATATTTGTCTTCCTTTTTCTAGGAAAGCTCCAGATACCCACTACTTTTTACCTGGTCCCGTGCAGAATGCTGTGGGTTTTATATTCTAACTGAAGCCACTGTACTCGCTATGGCAGAAACTGACAATGAAGTAAGAGGTAAATTCAAAATCAGTCAACTGTGGCTTTCGGTTTTAATTTGGACAGTCTTCCTGTTCCTTTGGGAGCGTGTGAACCCCATAAGCCAAAGCGGTCTAGAGTGGCAGGCCGTTTTTCTTGGTTTTGGGTTTTTTTTAAGAAAAGTAAATTTTTCTTAAAATAAGATTTATTACGTGTGGAAAATGTTATAGAATGGCTTTTCTTTCTTTTTTTTTAAATCCTACTTTTTTAAAGATCTTTAGCACTTACTGTGAGGCTTTAGACTCTTTAAACCTGATAACTAGTTATTTGGAGAAAAGTAAAATCCAACTTCAGGAATTTCAATCAACACAGACCTCAGCTTCAGGAACAGCAGTGCCCTGAAGCAGTGCTCTGCATATTCCACATGAGTAAGAGTTAGAAGGATGAGAACTCTAATAGTACTAGGACCAGGGTTCTATCAAGTCATTGTGGCCAATCACCCCACGCCCCCCACGCACACACCCCAGACTGGTCATGATTATGCAGTGAAGGAAAAGGAACTGCTTTGTCTTGCAATCCCAATCGTATTACCACTAAATAATTTGCACTTTGTAAATATCACAGACATGGAGGAAATCAAGAAGATGTAAATTTCTTGAGGACAATTCTTTTCCACATCAATACCTAGCAGAGTGCCCCATTATCAAAAATCAATCCAAATGCTAATCAAGATTCAGTTTCCTAGGATCTACCACTCATGCCCAACTGTGAGCTGCAAACATTTTTGGCAATTTGCATTCATGAAATGACCCACTCACATCATTACAGTAAAGCTGCATCTTGTGGTACACAGTGCATCCCGACACCCACAAAGACCTCCCTTTATTCTCACTGCAGGCAGCATTCTTCTTTTTAAACCCTGCCTCCACTTCGCCTTAATGCATTTCTGCTTCTCCAACCAGTATTTTCATGATGAGCTTTCTCCTAAAACTGTTCTCCATCAGCAAGACCCACCCACCCTTACCTTTTTTTTTTTTTTTTCCATTACTACTGTCCTCCCCTCCAATCCATCTGTCCCAGAGCACATGATACTCTCAGAGCAGGTCTTCTCTAGCTGATGCTTTCCTTCAGGTTTCCCTTAGAGATCAAGGGAAAACATCTGCACGCAGGAGAAGCCATATCAACCACCTCTGTCCTGTGTAGGTCACGGTGATTTATTCCAATCTTCACAAGGCTCTAAGAACACAATCATCTAACTCTAGGGAATCAGAAATAAAAATGCTCTGTGTGACCTGTTTCCAATGGTCTGTGTCTTTAGGAAAGTTTAGGCCAACTTTTCGGCACTCTCCTTGCTGTGTTTCTCATTTTCACTAACCTACCTGCTTATAATCCATTAAATGGAGTCCTGAGTGGGAATTACACTGAGTTCACAATAGTCAGCAATCCAGATGTCTATGCCTGGACATCCGATCAATTCCTCCTGATGAATTCAGTTTTAGAAAAACATTCAACAGGCATGACATCAAATTATTCTCCCAGTAGGAGAAAATAATGAAAGTGACAGCAAATGCAGGCCAGATTTTAGAATAATGTCTTCCTTCTTCTCAGCACTAAATCTTTGAGAAGGGCAAAGGTTATTTTTAATTTGACCTTTAATTTTTATTTTTTATTTATTTATTTATTTATTTATTTA